AGGCTGTGCAGCCCTTGCTGTCAAGGTGTGAGATGCGCCGTGGAGCTGTAAGTGTCCTGGCTGCCGTTTGGGCTAGGTTGAGCACGTGGCTCTTCGTTGTCATTGAAGAGTCGAACTTTATTCCCAAGATGTCAATTTCATCTGTGAACTCGAGGGTTTTGTCACCGATTTGCAAGCGTGTCTGATTCGCCAAGTACAGTCCAGTTATCATCATCGCTTGTGTCTTCTCGGCCACAAATGTGACCTGCCATCTCCTGCCCCGAGGTAGAAATTGCTGAAAGTTTGTGATTGATGATTCTTGTAGCAGTTGGCATTTCTTCCTTGCTGTATGTGAAGGTCAGAGTGAAGTCATCAGCATAGGCTTGAGCTTCAGGAATGAGATGAAGTAGATCGTTGCAATAAACATTCCACAGCAGAGGGCCAAGCACACTACCCTGTGGAACGCTGCCACCAGTTTAGTGGCTTACAGATTCTATACCATTGAGGACTGCCCTTAGAGTCCGTTCTTGAAGGTGGTCTTTTATTAACACTAAGATGGAGCCTGAGATGCCTAGTGCTTGAAGCTTCACTAGTAATCCAGAGTGCCAGACCCGACCACAGGCTCCTGCTGTGTCTAGAGCAACAACACAGCTGATCTTGGACTCATCCAGTGACTGATGCCACTTAGTGCAGAGGTTTAGCGAGAGATCAGCAGTCTCTCTCTCTCTCTCTCTCTCTCTCTCTCTCTCTCTCTCTCTCTCTCTCTCTCTCTCTCTCTCTCTCTCTCTCTCTCTCTCTCTCTCTCTCTCTCTCTCTCTCTCTCTCTCTCTCTCTCTCTCTCTCTCTCTCTCTCTCTCTCTCTCTCTCTCTCTCGCGCGCGCGCGCACACACTGACTAAACAAGACTGCGACATATGCTGAGAGACTTCTCTCCCCACTCCCTCCCTCCCTCCCCCCCCTCTCTCACCTCTCACATTCCGCCTCAGGGCACCTACCTCACAGCTGCCGGCGCCTTCCTGGGAGTCAGCTACTTACCTCTAGCTCCTGGGTGCTAGACATTGTGTGCTGGGTGCTGGGCATCAGTAGCAGCAGCATTATGTCCATTCACCCACCTGTAAACCTCTATCATGTCGCCCCTAACTCTTCGCCTTTCCAGTGAATGCAATTTAAGCTTTGTTAATCTTTCTTCATATGAAAGATTTCTAATTTGGGGAATTAACTTAGTCATCCTACGCTGGACACGTTCAAGTGAATTTATATCCATTCTATAGTACGGCGACCAAAACTGAACTGCATAATCTAAATGGGGCCTAACTAGAGCAAGATTAAGAACCACACCAGGTGTCTTGTTACTAACTTTTCGATTAATAAATCCCAGTGTCCTATTTGCCTTATTACGAACATTCAGGCATTGATCCTTTGGTTTTAAATTCTTACTTATCATAACTCCCAGATCCCTTTCGCAATCCGACTTCGCAATCTCAACACCATCTAGCTCGTATCTTGTAACTCTATCATCATTACCTAGCCTCAGAACTTTACATTTATCAGCATTAAACTGCATCTGCCAATCTTTTGACCATTTCAAAACCCTATTTAGATCAACTTGAAGTGATAGTAAGTCTTCTTCCGTGTTAATTTCCCTCCCGATTTTTGTATCATCGGCAAATTTGCAAATGTTGCTACTCAAACCTGAATCTAAATCATTTATATATATTATAAACAACAAAGGTCCCAGGACAGAGCCCTGAGGTACTCCACTAACAACATTATCCCACTCTGACTTAACCCCATTTATACTAACTCTGTTTCCTTTGGAATAGCCATGCCCTAATCCAAGTTAATATAGCACCCCCAATACCATGAGCTTCTATTTTTTAATCAGTCTTTCATGTGGCACTGTATCAAAAGCTTTGCTAAAGTCAAGGTACACATCACAATCCTTACCACTATCAACTGCCTCAACTATGCTGGAATAAAAAGTTAGCAAATTTGTTAAACATGAACGGCCATTTATAAAACCATGTTGGGACTCATTTATTAATTTATGTTTTTCAAGATGAAGACGAATTGTATTTGCAATTATCGATTCAAGTAACTTTCCCACAATAGACGTTAGGCTAATTGGCCGATAGTTTGACGCAAGTGATCTATCTCCTTTCTTAAAAATTGGTACCACATTAGCTACCTTCCATGACTCTGGCACTCTGCCTGACTCTATTGATTTATTAAATATGGTAGACAGTGGGTCGCAAAGCTTCCCCTTGCATTCTTTAAGCACCCAGGCAAACACTTCATCCGGCCCTGGGGATTTGTTTGGTTTTAGTTTTTCTAATTGTTTAATTACATCCTCCCTGGTAACTGCTAAACTAGTCAACCTGTCCTCGTCCCCACCCACATAGACTTGTTCGGCTGAAGGCATATTGTTAAGTTCCTCTTTAGTAAATAAAGATATAAAATATTAAAAATACTACTCATCTCGTCATTATCCGTTATTTTACTTGTCTCAGTTTTTAATGGACCTATCCTTTCCCTAGTCTTAGTTCGATATAACTGAAAAAAAACTTTAAGATTTGTCTTCGCTTGCAGTGCTATGCGAACTTCATAGTTTCTTTTTGCTTTCCTTATCTCTTTTTTTTTAACATTTCTAACCAGTTGTATGAATTCCTGTTCTAAACTGGCTTCCCCATTCTTAATCCTTTTGTACCAAGCTCTCTTTTGACCTATAAGGTTCTTCAGATCCTTTGTTATCCACTTTGGATCATTAGTATTCGATCTATTCAATTTATATGGTATACTACGTTCCTGGGCTTTGCTTAGAGTAGTTTTAAATAGGTTATATTTTGAATCCACATCGAAATCCCCTTTTACGTCACCTGTCGCTGGGTTCATGTCTAGCCCACACCCCATCCCCCAAGACTTTCCAATTTATTTGACCCAAAAAAATTCTTAGGCTATTGAAATCAGCTATCAGGCACTTTAACAGAATTTTCTCCTACAGATCTATTCCATTCTATGCTAAATCTGATTTCTTTAAGATCACTGTTCCCTAGTTCACTCCCTATTTCTATGTCTTTAATTTGTGTTTCCCTGTTAGTTAACACTAAATCTAAAATATTATTTTCCCGCGCTGGTTCCTTAATGTGTTGCGTAAGAAAGCAATCGTCAATTAATTTTAGAAAATCTTCTGCTTCATTATTCCCTGTTTTGTTCACCCAATTTATTCCACTAAAATTAAAGTCACCCATGACATAAATACTGTTAGATCTAGATGCTCTAGATATGTCATCCCATAGATGCTTTGCTTCCATTCTGTCTAAATTTGGTGGCCTATATATAACTCCTATTATAATATTATTTGCTTTTTCGTTTAATTCTATCCAAATAGTTTCTGTGTGTGGCTCAGTTTTGATTCCTTCTTTGAGACTACATTTCAAATTGTCCCTAACATATATGGCTACTCCCCCTCATCGTCTAATATATCTATCTGTGTGAAATTGTTTAAATCCATTTATTTGATATTCAGCTAATAGTTCTCTATTTTCTACATTCATCCACGTTTCGGTAAGTGCAATAATATCTATTTTTTCTGTACAGACAAGAGCATTTAACTCGTTTATTTTATTTCTTAGACTTCTACTGTTAGTGTAATATACCCTAAGTGAATTGTTATTTTGAGGGCCTTCTCTTTCTCTGATCATTTTGCCAATTTGTTTCTCCCACGAACACATATTTTTATTATCTCCTTCCTCCAAATCAATTCCCATACCACTATCTGCTAACAGCTTAAACCCAAACAAACACCTCTAACCACTGGTTCCAACGAGTTCGCAACAACAACAACCCCAGCCCTGGATAGATGCACCCCATCACGAGCATACATTTCATTTCTTCCATAGAAGTGTTCCCAGTTGTCTATGAAAGATATTGCATTAGATTTGCAATATATTTCCAGCCGGCAATTGACACCAAGTGCCCTCGACAACCATTCATTCCCAACGCTCTTTCTTGGAAGAATGCCACATATGATCGGGATTCCTCCCTTGCTCCTAACTAATTCTATGACTTTGTTAAATTTCTTTATCAGTTCCTCACTCCTAACTCGCCCAACATCATTACCCCCTGCACTAATACAAATAATGGGTTTGTTCCCATTTCCCATCATAATATCTTTCATGTTTCCAACAATATCTCCAATTCCAGCTCCCGGATAACAAACCCTTAATCTGTTCCCCCTATCTCTGGCACAAAACGTTCTGTCTAAATACCTCACCTGGGATTGTAGCAGCAGTAGCAGCAGCAGCAGAAGGAACAGTAGTAGCAGCAGCAACAACAGTTACAGTAGCAGCAGCAGCAACAGTAGTAGCAGCAACAGTAGTAGCAGCAGCAACAGTAGCAGCAGCGACAGTAGCAACAACAGTAGCAGCAGCAGTAGCAACAGTGGAAGCAGCAGCGACAGCAGCAGCAACAGTAGCAGCAACCGTAGCAGCAGCAACAGTAGTAGTAGCAGCAGCAGCAGCGACTGTAGCAGCAGCAACAGTAGAAGCAGCAGCAACAGTAGAAGCAGCAGCAACAGTAGTAGCAGCAGCAACAACAGCAACAGTAGCAGAAGGAACAGTAATAGCAGCAGCAACAACAGTAGTAGCAACAGCAACAGTAGCAGCAGCAGCGACAGTAACAGTACCAGCAGCAGCAATAGCAGTAGCAGCAGCAACAGTAGCATCAACAACAGCAACAGTACCAGCAGCAGGAGCAAGAGCAGCACCAGCAACAGTACACAGATACAGCATTATAACAACAATAAATGCCCCCCACCACCACTACCAACACGGGAGAATTTGTTGAATCTGGTGCAACCAACATTCCCTCCCCTCCCACCACCACCACCACCACCACCCGCTGCCCATGCAACACCCCCACACCACCCCACCCTCACCCCCACCTCCCCATCACCCCCAAAGACATCCCCAGTACACCATTTCCCCTCCCCGCCCACTCCCCACCCCACAATATCCCCCCACAATTCTCCCCTCCATGATGGGTCCTCCCCCGCCACCTCCCCTAGACGGCCGGGCCGGGCAGCAGGAGAAGGACGAGGAAGGTGGAGAGCGTCAGTAAGGTGTGAGCAGTGAGTGAGGTGAGACGCGTCCCGTCACCCGTCCGCTAGGCGGTGTGTGTGTGTGTGTGTGTCTGGTGTATCGGATCAACACTGTTGTTGTGGTTGGTGGTGAGCTGCTGCTGCCACCTGCTGGCTGGCTGGCTGCAGGTGTGGAGGGCAGTCCGCCGAGTATCCCAGCAGGAGAAGGGACAGGAATTACTAGCAGTTTACTGGTGTAAACTTGTCTTTTTCAGTGTCACTAGATTTCCTTCGTGGCTTCCGCTGCCATGGAGCCGCTCCATGTTGGTCTACTGTGGTTTACACGGGCTCCGTTACTGGGTTCAGGGGCTCCGTTACTGGGTTTAGGGGCTCCGTTACTGGGTTTAGGGGCTCCGTTACTGGGTTTAGGGGCTCCGTTACTGGGTTTACGGGCTCCGTTACTGGGTTTACGGGCTCCGTTACTGGGTTTACGGGCTCCGTTACTGGGCTAACGGGCTCCATTACTGGGTTTACGGGCTCTGTTACTGGGTTTACGGGCTCTGTTACTGGGTTTACGGGCTCCGTTACTGGGTTTACCGGTTTAATTACCGAGTCTACAGGCTCATTTGCCAAATTTAGGGGGTTCCGTTGCCAAATTTAGGGGGTTCCGTTGCTATATGTAAGGGGTTCCGTTGCTAGATTTAGGGGGTTCCGTTTCTATATGTAAGGGGTTCCGTTGCTATATGTAAAGGGTTCCGTTGCTATATGTAAAGGGTTCCGTTGCTATATGTAAAGGGTTCCGTTGCTATATGTAAAGGGTTCCGTTGCTATATGTAAAGGGTTCCGTTGCTATATGTAAAGGGTTCCGTTGCTATATGTAAAGGGTTCCGTTGCTATATGTAAAGGGTTCCGTTGCTATATGTAAGGGGTTCCGTTGCTATATGTAAGGGGTTCCGTTGCTATATGTAAGGGGTTCCGTTGCTATATGTAAGGGGTTCCGTTGCTATATGTAAGGGGTTCCGTTGCTATATGTAAGGGGTTCCGTTGCTATATGTAAGGGGTTCCGTTGCTATATGTAAGGGGTTCCTTTGCTATATGTAAGGGGTTCCGTTGCTATATGTAAGGGGTTCCGTTGCTATATGTAAGGGGTTCCGTTGCTATATGTAAGGGGTTCCGTTGCTAGATTTAGGGGGTTCCGTTGCTAGATGTAAGGGGTTCCGTTGCTAGATTTAGGGGGTTCCGTTGCTAGATTTAGGGGGTTCCGTTGCTATATGTAAGGGGTTCCGTTGCTAGATTTAGAGGGTTCCGTTGCTAGATTTAGGGGGTTCCGTTGCTATATGTAAGGGGTTCCGTTGCTAGATTTAGAGGGTTCCGTTGCTAGATTTAGAGGGTTCCGTTGCTAGATTTAGAGGGTTCCGTTGCTAGATTTAGAGGGTTCCGTTGCTAGATTTAGAGGGTTCCGTTGCTAGATTTAGGGGGTTCCGTTGCTAGATTTAGGGGGTTCCGTTGCTATATGTAAGGGGTTCCGTTGCTAGATTTAGAGGGTTCCGTTGCTAGATTTAGAGGGTTCCGTTGCTAGATTTAGAGGGTTCCGTTGCTATATGTAGGGGGGTTCCGTTGCTAGATTTAGAGAGTTTCGTTGCTAGATTTAGAGGATTCCGTTGCTAGATTTAGAGGGTTCCGTTGCTAGATTTAGAGGGTTCCGTTGCTAGATTTAGAGGGTTCCGTTGCTAGATTTAGAGGGTTCCGTTGCTAGATTTAGAGGGTTCCGTTGCTAGATTCAGAGGGTTCCGTTGCTAGATTTAGGGAGTTTCGTTGCTAGATTCAGAGGGATTCCGCTCACGAGTTTGGAGGTTTAATTGTATTATATTGTGTTCAAATACTTTATTATACGAGCTTAAATAATTAGGGGGGGGGCTCTTCCCCTCCAACCTCGATTTTACCGATTTTCCTGTTCAATGGTAGCTTCCACCTCTCTCTCTGTCTCTTTGTCTCTCTCCGTCTCTGTCTCTCTCTGTGTCTCTCTCTCTCTCTCCTCCTCCTGCTCCTCTCCGTGCCGGTCGCTGCCCGCCCCTCAGGGGAGGAGGGGGTCTGGGGGCAGGGCCGGCGGCGCCCGGGGCGGTGATAGTGGCCCACAATACAGCAGGAAAGACCTAATGTTTACTGAAGCTTTGGCCCGTCACGCCGCCCGCTACGGAAACCTTGGTAGGGTGGTGGTTGTGACCTGGGGAGGGTGGTGGTGGTTGTGACCTGGGGGTGGTTGTGCCCTGGGGAGGGTGGTGGTGGTTGTGACCTGGGGAGGGTGGTGGGGGTTGTGACCTGGGGAGGGTGGTGGTGGGGGTTCTGACCTGGGGAGGGTTGTGGGGGTTGTGACCTGGGGAGGGTGGTGGGGGTTGTGACCTGGGGAGGGAGGTGGGGGTTGTGACCTGGGGAGGGTGGTGGTGGTTGTGACCTGGGGAGGGTGGTGGTGGTTGTGACCTGTGGAGGGTTGTGGGGGTTGTGACCTGGGGAGGGTTGTGGGGGTTGTGACCTGGGGAGGGTGGTGGTGGTGGTTGTGACCTGGGGAGGGTGGTGTGGTTGTGACCTGGGGAGGGTTGTGGGGGTTGTGACCTGGGGAGGGTGGGAGTGGTTGTGACCTGGGGAGTGGTGGTGACCTGGGGAGTGTGGTGGTGGTTGTGACCTGGGGAGGGTTGTGGGGGTTGTGACCTGGGGATGGTGGGGTTGTGACCTGGGGAGGGTGGTGATGGTGGTTGTGACCTGGGGAGGGTGGTGGTGGGGGTTGTGACCTGGGGAGGGTGGTGGTGGGGGTTGTGACCTGGGGAGGGTGGTGGGGGTTGTGACCTGGGGAGGGTGGTGGTGGGGGTTGTGACCTGGGGAGGGTGGTGGGGGTTGTGACCTGGGGAGGGTGGTGGGGGTTGTGACCTGGGGAGGGTGGTGGGGGTTGTGACCTGGGGAGGGTGGTGGGGGTTGTGACCTGGGGAGGGTGGTGGGGGTTGTGACCTGGGGAGGGTGGTGGGGGTTGTGACCTGGGGAGGGTGGGGGTTGTGACCTGGGGAGGGTGGTGGGGGTTGTGACCTGGGGAGGGTGGGAGTGGTTGTGACCTGGGGAGGGTGGTGGTGGTTGTGACCTGGGGAGGGTTGTGGGGGTTGTGACCTGGGGATGGTGGGGGTTGTGACCTGGGGAGGGTGGTGGTGGGGGTTGTGACCTGGGGAGGGTGGTGGTGGGGGTTGTGACCTGGGGATGGTTGTTGTGACCTGGGGAGGGTTGTGGGGGTTGTGACCTGGGAAGGGTGGTGACCTGGGGAGGGTGGTGGTGGTTGTGACCTGGGGAGGGTGGTGGTTGTGACCTGGGGAGGGTGGTGACCTGGGGAGGGTGGTGGTGGTTGTGACCTGGGGAGGGTGGTGGTTGTGACCTGGGGAGGGTGGTGGTGGTTGTGACCTGGTGAGGGTGGTGGGGGGTTGTGACCTGGGGAGGGTGGTGGGGGTTGTGACCTGGGGAGGGTGTTGGGGGGTTGTGACCTGGGGAGGGTGGTGGGGGTTGTGTCCTGGGGAGGGTGGTGGGGGTTGTGACCTGGGGAGGGTGGTGGGGGGTTGTGACCTGGGGAGGGTGATGGTTGTGACCTGGGGAGGGTGGTGGAGGTTGTGACCTGGGGAGGGTGGTGGTTGTTGTGACCTGGGGAGGGTTGTGGGGGTTGTGACCTGGGGAGGGTGGTGGTGGGGGTTGTGACCTGGGGAGGGTGGTGGTGGTTGTGACCTGGGGAGGGTGGTGGTTGTTGTGACCTGGGGAGGGTGGTGGTTGTTGTGACCTGGGGAGGGTTGTGGGGGTTGTGACCTGGGGAGGGTTGTGGGGGTTGTGACCTGGGGAGGGTGGTGGGGGTTGTGACCTGGGGAGGGTGGGGGTGGTTGTGACCTGGGGAGGGTTGTGGGGGTTGTGACCTGGTAAGGGTGGTGGTGGTTGTGACCTGGGGAGGGTTGTGGGGGTTGTGACCTGGGGAGGGTGGTGGTGGTTGTGACCTGGGGAGGGTTGTGGGGGTTGTGACCTGGGGAGGGTGGTGGTGGTTGTGACCTGGGGAGGGTTGTGGGGGTTGTGACCTGGGGAGGGTGGTGGTGGTTGTGACCTGGGGAGGGTGGTGGTGGTTGTGACCTGGGGAGGGTGGTGGTGGTTGTGACCTGGGGAGGGTGGTGGGGGTTGTGACCTGGGGAGGGTGGTGGTGGGGGTTGTGACCTGGGGAGGGTGGTGGTGGTTGTGACCTGGGGAGGGTGGTGGTTGTTGTGACCTGGGGAGGGTGGTGGTTGTTGTGACCTGGGGAGGGTGGTGGGGGTTGTGACCTGGGGAGGGTGGTGGTTGTTGTGACCTGGGGAGGGTTATGGGGGTTGTGACCTGGGGTGGGTGGGGGTGGTTGTGACCTGGGGAGGGTGGTGGTTGTGACCTGGGGAGGGTGGTGGTGGTTGTGACCTGGGGAGGGTGGGGGTGGTTGTGACCTGGGGAGGGTGGTGGTGGTTGTTACCTGGAGAGGGTTGTGACCTGGGGAGGGTGGTGGTGGTTGTGACCTGGGGAGGGTGGGGGTGGTTGTGACCTGGGGAGGGTGGTGGTGGTTGTGACCTGGAGAGGGTTGTGGTGGTTGTGACCTGGGGAGGGTTGTGGTGGTTGTGACCTGGGGAGGGTGGTGGTGGTTGTGACCTGGGGAGGGTGGGGGTGGTTGTGATCTGGGGAGGGTGGTGGTGGTGGTTGTGACCTGGGGAGGGTGGTGGTTGTTGTGACCTGGGGAGGGTGGTGGAGGTTGTGACCTGGGGAGGGTGGTGGTGGTTGTGACCTGGGGAGGGTGGTGGGGGTTGTGACCTGGGGAGGGTGGTGGGGGTTGTGACCTGGGGAGGGTTGTGACCTGGTGGGGGTTGTGACCTGGGGAGGGTTGTGACCTGGTGGGGGTTGTGACCTGGGGAGGGTTGTGACCTGGGGAGGGTGGGGGTGGTTGTGACCTGGGAGGGTGGTGGGGGTTGTGATCTGGGGAGGGTGGTGGAGGTTGTGACCTGGGGAGGGTGGTGGGGGTTGTGACCTGGTGG